AATGCACTGCTAGATCAAACACTTTGTTCCTTCAACATTCTGCTGAATTTTTTCAAACTCAAGAGGTGGAGAATTGTTCGGATCTTTAGCTGTCCATGCGTGTAATTCATTCCTTCAGGGAATGGAATGGCATCTCTATATAACCCAAGATGCTGAAATCATTTGTTCGTTCCTAGATGCGTCAAGGTGTAAATAAGAGGCATCACATTTCGCAGTATTTTTTCTGAGCAAGTGTGAGTCTTTATTCCAAAATTAACGAAAAAAAATGGATACAGAACATATCGAAAAATTACCACAAGCCACAATCCAATGGTTCCTATAACAAATCCCACAGATAAACGCCCTGTTCGTTTGGGCTGGTTTGGTTTATAAGCTATGACTGAAAATATTGTTGGCTGGCTTGGTGTGAGAGAAAAATAATATTCGTTGGCTGATAAGCCATGGCTTATAAGCCAAATACGACCGAGTGAACAGGCTAAAACCTCACCGGCCTATGATGGTACAGCATGAACAGAAACAGCGGAAATAATTACACCATGAGCTGGTACGCTGATATATGGATCTCTCTCTGGGATTTACCACGCTAGCGACAGCAAAAGCGCCGCCATGGCGGTCTGCAGGACGACGGAGGCCCAGTGCTGGTGCTGCCGGCTGCTCGCGTTCTGCAGAAAAGAAGAAGAAAAAACATTGTGGTCATTCCTACTGAAAAATGTGAAGTGCTCTCGCCTAATAGGATAGTGATTTGGGCATTACCACATCGGACGCTGACGGTGCGGGGCCGGACACGTCCTCGAGATCAGCCGGCGACGGCGCGGCGGGAGCAGGCGGGCTCAGCGGTTGCGGCGCCTCCGCGCGGGCGCCTCCTTCTTCTGCCGTGCTGCTTCTTCCTCCTCTTTGCTTGTTCTTGCCCTTGGACGGCGCCTCGGCGGGCGGTATCTCCGCGGGCGGCGCGGGGGCCTCGGCCACGGGCGGGGGCGTCGTCGCGGGAGGCAGCGACGCGGGCGCCTCGGCCGGGGGCGTGGCCGTCGGCGGAGGCGCTGCGGCGGGCGGCAGCACGGCGGGTGGGAGCACCGCGGGTGGCGTCGTGGGAGGTGGCGTGACCGGTGGGGGCGTCACCGGCGGGGGTTTGGCCGGTGCGACCGGCGGCGGCTTTGCTGGCGCGACAGGGGTGGCGGTGGGCGCTGGCGCTGTCGGGCTGGCAGTGGGCGCCGGCGTCGCCGGGGTCGTGGGTGCAGCCGGTGTCGTGGGTGCGGCAGGGGTCGTCGGTGCAGCCGGAGTCGTCGGTGCGGCCGGGGTCGTGGGTGCAGCAGGGGTCGTCGGTGCAGCCGGAGTCGTGGGCGCGGCAGGGGTCGTGGGAGCGGCAGGGGTCGTGGGTGCAGCCGGAGTCGTGGGCGCGGCAGGGGTCGTGGGTGAAGCTGGCGGCGACTGCGCCACGGCGGCGGCGAGGTGGAGCGCGAGGAGGGCGCCGAGCACGGCGAGGCGGCGCCATTGCCGGAGCAGCGGCGCGGCCATGCTGCTGGCGGCGGCGGTCTGCTTGGAGGGGAGGCGTGCGGATGCTGGAGGTGATGGGAATGCGATCAATGGATCTCGGGGCGATGAGGAGCGTAGCGAGCGAGAAGAGTATATATGAGCCCAGAGCGCGCGCGGGGCGTATGGTAGTGGCTTGGGAGTGAAGGGAGTCGGGTGAGCGTGCAGCGCGACGCCAATGGCGACACGACAACTGCCTGCCTGGCCACGCTAACCGACTGCCTTCTTCTTCTAGTTCCTAATCCTTTTCTTTTCTTCCTTGTTTAACCAAAGCAATTAAACGGGCAACTGAAGCTGCCTTTTGCCTTTTAAAAAATGGGAAAGCTGTACTCTATTCGGGTATTTCATTTCATCTTCCTCTCAGCACGTGGATCTCTTCTTCCTCACTCTTCTCCAAATCCGAGTGTTCTGACTTCTGAGGCCATCAGCTAAAAAGGAAATACTGTTTGCCATACGTGTGACTAACTATTTCTTCAACCCTTAGGCAAAGCTAGCAAAGAACATTTTTTATGGAGAGCCGCACATAATAGTCACCCTATCAGGTCTAACCTGGAGTTTAGAGGCATGGATATTGAGAAATAGATGTGTTGTCTGTGATCGGAATGGCGAGAACGAAGGTCATCTTTTCTTCAAATGGCACATGGCCAATAGATCTTAAATAAATAGGTAATACATAGTCAGTGGTAAGCCAAGAATTTTGAGCTTGAGTATTCGAAATAGAAAGGGATATCAAAATAACTTTTTAGCAACCAAAAACCTAATATTGTAAGTCGTTGTGACTTTTCTAGATATATATAGCTTTGTTATGCATCAAAATATACATTATGCATATCTAGATATATATACGAAAAGCTATTAGAAACGGAGGGAGTATATAGCAAATATATAACACGTAATCGAGCATAATTTCACCTAATAATAGAATTTGAGCATAATTTAGAATTGTTTAACATAAAAAGTACCAATCGTTTTACATAGTAAAGTAGCAATATATGGAATATATAGTCATATATATGTTCATATTAGGTTTTTGAAGGTATTGAATGTAAGATTTGATTGGATGAGGTGGGGGCAGCCGGGCAGACACGAGGAGGGTAAAAAAATGAAATGCGGTATAGATGCTTACTAAAAAACGCATTTGCTTGTATGAGCATAGGCTTTCATGCAAAGGTGCCGATGCAGAAAGAGAACCAGGACACCATACACCTTTTTGAATTTTGATATTGGTGCCTTTTAAATCTTTGCTTCAGAACATGATAATGCAAGTGTTATGAATGGTAGTTGTTGATGTCTTGGATTCTTGGTGTGCCGTATGTAGCCGTATGTATCCCCACTACGCAGTACACTGTACGTGTGTACATTGTGGTTTAGCGGTCGAGGCTGAAAAAAAACATGATTAGGACATCGTGCAAGTTTCGGTCAGCCTGTTCGTTTGGCTGTGGCTTGTCGTAAACGATCGTAAATTTCTAGCCGGAACAGTATTTTTCTTTCACACAAATCAGTCAGCAGTACTTCTTCACGAACCAGTAACGAAACCAACTAGCCAACCGAACATGCTGGGTATTGGCTGGTCGTCGTAGGTACAAGTACACTACAACATAACAGTATTTTGTTTGGGAGTTGGATCGGAGGGCTTTTGTATTGGTTAGAATCTCATTAACCGCGCAGCTACTTCTTAGTTATTATATATGTGCCCTGTTAATTTCCAATTTCCCGTTCCTGGCTAGCAAATATCACCCTGTTCGCTTGATCATTTCTGTGGTTTATAAGCCGGCTGATATTATTTGGTTGTGAGAGAAAAATATTATATTGACTGATACGGATGTATAGCAGGAAGAAGCGGGGACACTGGACAGTGACAAGGGACCAGCACCCAGAGCCTGCTGGTTCTCTCCATCGCCAGCTGCTAGTCTTGCTTGCATTTCACGATCAGGCTGAGACGAAAAAGGGACGAATTTGAGACGGTTTTATCACTGCACGTCGGTCGAATTAACTTGTGGCGAGCGTCACATGTTTTCCATTCCAGCTCAGGTTTACCAACGCAACTAGGCAAGCTAGCTCGACGTGTTAGGTCTACCTCGTTGCGCTGTTTGGTGAACGTGTAAGGTGACATGTCGCTGCTCACTGATCTGCTCGCTTGCGCTGCACGGGAACACTGTCGTCCTCCTCCAGCACACACGAAAAAAAGGTTCATATCCTCTTGTATATTTGGATTGCCGGCGTTGCATTTGCGTCTGGGAATGAGAAATATACACTGCACGGAGGGGCTTTCGGTTCTTACCATAGGAGCTAGCCAGATTGTTTGTGATCAAGAGACCTTTTGTGTATGTGATCAAGCCTTTTCATGTAATAAACCTCTGTAAAATCTGGCTCGATTCCCTTCTTATATGGTAATATAGCAGAACTCCTGTTGAAGGGAGTGTTTGGCTAATCTATAAGCCGCTTGTGCTGATCCGTACGATGACTGTTATTAGAGCAGCCCGAAATTTCTAAAAAAAAGAAAGAAATAGGAGCTAGCCTAGCCAGGCTGTGTGTGGAGCAGTCGGAATTAACAGCTGAACAATACGTCGCGTTTTAATCACGGGTTAGCTAGTCAGTCACGTCCCTCGCTTCCTGCTACTACTAGTGCTTGATATGCACTGCAGATAGTTCTGGAACCTATTAAGGCCTTAGAAGGCCAGATTGTTAGTAGGTTTCCCTTTTTTCACTTTTCAGAGTTTTTTTTTTTTTGACAAAGAGGGAAGGTTAAGAGTGTTAGATTTTTAGAAGAAGAAGTGTAGTTTTTTTTTAAGAAAAAGAAAAGAAGTAAACTTGTAATGGAAGAGTTAACATCAGTGCCCAGCCCAAGAAATTGTATATGATCTGGGCTGCAAACTCCACAATGGCAGGCTGCGCTAGAGCCCATGCGGTCGAGCAAGGAATGCGTGAGTACCAAGCCCAATCCTCTTTGCTCAAAAAAAAAAAAGCAAGCCCAATCCTCTATTATATCATACTAATACTAATCTGTATATAATAAAAATAAATAAATAAATAAATAACACCTTACCACGATCTCTTCGCTCAAAAAAAAAAGAATAAATAATTTTATCGACTGATGGAGTGATGGGCGAGTTCGTTCCATTCCATTCCATCCCGTTACGTCTTGTCTCGTCTGCCAACGCACCACGCCGTGGCGTGGTCGAGTCGAGCCTCCAGAGAAGCGAGCCGTGCCCGTCTCTCCCAATCCACTCCATACTGGGCGCTCCTCCCCAGCCGCCGCCGGAAGAGCAAGTGGTAGCGACTAGCGAGCACACTCCGACACTCGCCATCCCCTCTTGGCCCCTTCGCCCGCAGCCGCCCTGGCATAAAATCGACGAACTCCGCTTCCTCTTCTCGGTCTCGCTCTCGCAACTCTCTGGGGTACGCTCATCGCCGGCGGCAGTGACGCATCTTCGTCTCCGGCTTCCTTATTAGGATCAACCCATCGATCGATCATGGCGTCGTCGAGCGCGGCTGCTACTACTAGCGATGGCAACCAGGGCCTCAAGGCTCGAGATGTCTGCATCGTCGGCGTCGCCCGCACGCCCATCGGCGCCCTCCTCGGGTCGCTCTCGTCCCTCCCGGCCACCAAGCTCGGCTCCATCGCCATCCAGGGTACGTACCCGCCGCGCCACTCGCTCGCCTCCAACGTTTTTGGCCGCATCAACAGTAATCCGTCAACGAATTGCTGCGTCATGTGTGGTCCCTCCCAAATCCCCAGGTGCTCTCGAGAGGGCGAAGGTCGACCCGGCGCTCGTGCAGGAGGTGTTCATGGGCAACGTCCTCAGCGCCAACCTCGGCCAGGCCCCGGCAAGGCAGGCGGCCCTTGGCGCCGGCTTGCCCTACTCCGTCCCCTGCACCACCGTCAACAAAGTTTGCTCCTCAGGAATGAAGGGTACTACTACTAATATACTCTATTTTGTATATTGATTGATTGTTGAATGTTGATTAGCCTTGCAATGTGAGAGCCTTATCCTGGAACGTTACCACCGACTTGTTGCAGCTGTCATGTTTGCGGCGCAAAGTATTCAGCTGGGGATCAACGATGTCGTGGTCGCAGGTGGCATGGAGAGCATGTCGAATGCCCCAAAATATGTGGCTGAAGCAAGGTTAGTGATGTTATAGGCTAGAATGCTTTTGTTGTAGCTTGTGCTTACAATAAGCAGTGCAAATAAAATGCAGACGTGGATCACGGTTCGGACATGATGTCCTGGTTGACGGGATGCTCAAGGATGGCCTGTGGGATGTCTATAACGATTTTCCAATGGGAATGTGTGCTGAACTGTGTTCAGACCAGCACTCAATCTCAAGGGAGGAGCAGGTTGCTGCTGTTTCTAAGCTTTATTTATGAATCACAACCTGTTTTATTCTACTTATTAGCATCTACTCTGGGCAGTGACTTATTTTTTCTTCTAGGATTCTTATGCTATCCTCAGCAATGAACGTGGAATAGCAGCTCGGGACAGCGGTGCATTTTCTTGGGAGATTATTCCTGTGCGTGCATGATTTTGATTGACCACATAACTCCTTTTGTGTGTTAGACTTTGATACTTCAGTATATGGTACCAATCTCAAACGTTTTGTTGTTTCCCAGGTTGAAATTTCTTCTGGTAGAGGGAAACCACCAGTAGTTGTGGACAAGGATGAGAGTCTTGCAAAGGTAATCCGGTCTTGCTACTAGTGTTGATTTTGATTGTTGCAGATTCAAGAGGAGTTGTGTAGTGTCAGAATGCAAACGAAACCATCCACATTTAACATTGTCCATAACAGCAATTAACACGATTTCTTTTCCTCTTGAGATTTGACATGATTCCTTTGGTTTTCATATGCTTGATTTGATCCAGTAAAGCTGAAGAAACTTGGGCCAACTTTTAAGATGAATGGTTCTGTGACGGCTGGCAATTCTTCTAGTATAAGGTTTGTTTCCTTGTTACTCGGATCAGCCCTCTGTAATCTATATAAATAACATGCAACCAGAGTCAATGGTATACCATGTTCTAAAATGTAATAATTGCATTAGCAGTTTATATTTGAGATTAGTACTTGTAACCTGGACAACTTCTTTTGGTATTGTTATGATACTCTTATAGCTACTAGAAACAAGATTACAAGAAAGGCTACATTACAGACAACAAGTAGATCTGAGTTAGTAATATCCTGTTAGTTGTAATTATTATGCCTTAAGTTATGTCTAAGATAAGATATGAACCAATTAGATTTGCATATATTCTTAGTTTAGCTTGTCAGAGAATATCTCTTATTGAAGGCAATTCATCAGTAAGCAATATTAAAAAAGGAAACCACTCTCTCCTATATACCCTCATGGATGAAACTGTCTCATGCCTCCCTTGTTTGTTGGCTGCACTCCTGTACCACTGCATGTACATTATCAGACTACCTTTTGTAGACAGTGAAACCATAAGAAATTTCTTCACCATTGAAAATCACGGGAATTAATCCTAGAGCACTAACGCTAGGTCATTCAAGAGAGGCCATGCTGCTTCAAAAAAAAAGAGAGAGCCCATGCTGAGCATACACTAGCAGCGGCGGATCCAGGAAAAATTTTAGGGGGGGCTGAACAAAAGTGCGACAGCAACATACCTCCGACTGCTGCTCGATCTTAAGTCTTAGCCCCACCTACACGATAGAACTTTGTCTAAAAATTCATGGGGCTCCAGGGCTCCGGTATCGGTAGGGGGGGCTCGAGCCCCCCCCCCGGTTGAATCCGCCGTTGTACACTAGTATTGCACCTGAGCCTATGTTCCCATAGGAGGTAGGAGCAAAATTGTTGCCATCCCTGCTCGGAACATGTTTCCGATATTGCATCTAATATGACATACAAGAAAAGGTTAGCTCATAATTCTGCTAGGCTCCCCATGCTGCCATGCATCACAAGGCTACCTGCACATGCTCAAGCCATGATTTTCCTCTTTCAAACTTTGGACTCCATTGTTTATTTATGTTTAGTGTAGATTAACTTTGTTTGGATGATGCATAATTCATCAAGGGTAATGCCGATCTTATCTATCAATGCACAGTGATGGCGCTGCTGCAATTGTCCTTGTCAGTGGAGAGAAAGCCAAGAATCTTGGCCTTAAAGTTATTGCAAGGATTAGAGGGTATGCTGATGCTGCACAGGTAACTCTTGCATGACTCCTGTCCTAATACATTGTTTGAACGAGTTTTGTGTTAAATGAGGGAAAGTATCCTTTTTCCTGGAACCAATATCTATTTTCCATTCAGTGATGTGTCACTGGAGTCTTAGTTACCTTGAAATCTAAGCTTATTGTGACTTATTACACTGAGCATCATTTTATCTCTGTTGTGTGCACTCCTTTCTAATGTAGGCACCAGAGCTGTTTACGACAGCTCCAGCTCTTGCTATTCAAAGGCTATATCAAATGCAGCTCTTCAAACTTCACAGATTGATTATTATGAAATAAATGAGGCTTTCTCTGTAAGTTCTTGGTCTTTCCAGTTTCAATAATACTTACAGCTGAAGCACAACTCTAGACTTAACTGTACTTATGGACATTGCCAGGTTGTTGCTGTAGCTAATCAGAGGCTTCTTGGTATCCCTTCTGTGAGTCACTGATTTTTACTTGTCTATATAATTCAGCAGTTAGTATTTGTATTTGTCTCTGCATGATCTAATAAATATCTCTGTACATTCAGGGAAAGCTAAACTTAAGTGGTGGTGCTGTTTCTCTGGGCCATCCTTTCGGCTGCAGTGGTGCACGGATTATAGTCACTCTGCTTGGGGTATGCTTCCTACCCATGTATAATTATGATTTAGTTCTTGACTGCAAAATTCGTCTTGGTGCATGATATATCATCCTCTTATCACATTTGCATCCAACCCATCTATTTTTTATCAGAATTTGAAGTGCATACAGTTGCAGACTAAGATATTTCTAGCTTTATCATTTTGAACAACTCTTTTCATTTTGTTTGCATCCTTGTACCAGAGTAGATCTAGAACCTTCATGTTCCTCTGATACAGGGAAGCAAGAATTGCTAGTATAAGTAAAACTTGACTTATTGGATGTTTTGAGCTTACAGTGTTTCGGCTACCATTTCCTTCTCTGCAGTTTTGTTCAATTTTATGTATCCTTATCTGTATGTCAGATTATTGTATATTTCCCTGTCATGTGTTATCTTCTGAACCATCATGTTTAATACTCTAGCATGCAAATTGGTGTGGGTTTTTTTTTTTTTTTGAGGGGAGTGGTTTGAAAATTCTGAGCAACCTCTTTTCACTCTAAACTCGATCAAGGGGAGAGACATTCCCTTGATTTTGTTCCTAAGAAGTTTGTGCCTGGTGATGGCAGTTTATCGACCCCTGAACCTCAATGGTCTAACCAAATAACTCAGGAGAAGTCTGCACCCCTTTTCACTTTTATCTGCAGCCTCTCTCCAGAGTAGCTCCAAATTTTCATTTTTAACTAATACAAAGCAGCAAGAATCGAAGAGGTTGAGAACTTGACCTGTAGAAAATGGACAGCATTCTCCTTCTGTGCAATTTTGTTCATAAATTTCTAGCTTTTCTTGGTCTGCAGATTCTTAGGCAGAAAAATGGAAAATTTGGTGTTGCTGGAGTTTGCAATGGTGGCGGTGGCGCTTCAGCCCTCGTTTTGGAGCTCATGTAAGCTCTTCCCATTTTTATTGTTCAGACTCTTTTTTTCCCCCGTGGAACAGGAAATTTTCAGTTCTCTATGCTAATGTTCCATCTGATCGTCAGTGGGGCACTAGAAAACACTCGTTAACAAAGTGTAGTTATCTTCCTACTTTCTACCATTTCAATACTTCTTGCACTGCTTGATTTCCAACCTGCAACCGTTAGAACCTTTGCTCATCAAATCAGAAGCTACTTAAGAGTTATTTGAGCTACTTTCTTAGCGTCTCTGACATGATGCAGGCAACCCTCTTCGTATATTCATTCATCATTGTGAAGTTGGTGCAAGCAAATTAGCAAGACATGAGTTGTAAAATGTGTTGTATCTTTTGTCATTTGTAGGGGGGATTAGTTTGCGTTGTGTGATAGACGGAAAACTGTAAAATAAGGTTGTGCTGCTCAGCACAGGGCGTTATTTTGTACCTTACATGGGAAATATAGACGTATATATAGCAATGGAAATAACAGAGGCCCGGAAGAATAATGTACAGACACTGATAGTCATTATATCACTGAAAATGGACATGATTTTGCTTTACCATTTTGTGTGAGCCGAGTACAATTGTAAGATTTAAAACCTTTATTATGGGTACACCCATTCATGGGGACTGGAGGGGATTGAGGGAGAAATGAACTAATTTATCCTTCAATCCCCATGGGGAATGATAGAGCCAAAGGAGGCAAAAGATTGCCCCGTAGAGCAGGATATTATGGGATACAAGATTTTCAACAGGCATAACGAATTGAATTGCTGTAACGTGTGCTCCAACATGAAATGTAATCATCAGGTATGGACGTGCAACACACTCCTGTTGAACAGCTTTTATTTTGGGTAATAAAGCTACTTATCCAATGGGAAGATTCTGATGACAAATTATGATCTGCTCATAGTTAAGATAAGGTTAAGAGGCGCAGGTCAATGATTAAACGCACGCTACAAATTGGCCCAGGCGTGCTACTGAAGCATTGCAGACTTTACTGCCCAAAGAGCAAGTTTTGAAATTCGCACGAGCATTGCCGTTCGCGGATTCGCAGGAGCCGGAAGCATTGACCCTAGAAATTCAGCAGCAAAATAGCATTACTCTGCCAGAAAAGAAGAAAAAAAAGAGTTGAGACCACAGTCCTTCAAAGTTTTACCCTGTTTGGCAGCCCTGTTCGCTTCAACTTATCATTCTCCCTTATCAGTCATGATATAGTTTTTCTCTCAAAATAAATCAGCGAACGATGCTTTTCGTAACAGGGCTGTACTCGTGCCCAGTGCCCAGCAAAAGATCTACCACGTCGTACGCCCACTAAACCCTACTGTTCATTACAGCACAATTATCCTGTCAACTCGAGACAGGACACTATCATCCAATGAAGCATTGACGTGTCGGTCATGGCATGCGTCACAGCAACAGGCGCCGTTGCCTTTGCACATGCCACATGAACCCCACGATGATGATTAGTAGGTGGCGGCCGATGCCGGCCGGCCGATGCCGGCCGATTATATATCATAGGCCCTTTTGGTTTGCTGAAACTTGGCTAAAATTAACTGAAAAACATTATTCTAACTGAAATATTATGAGAGAAAAATACTGTTCCGACTGAAAAAAGAAGCCGAACAAATCAGATTTAAGGTAGGCGAACGGGGCCAATTCAGATGGGTATGGTAATGGGGGTCTCCATGAAGCATCTTTCTTCGTTTCTGGGTCAAATCCGCGGCGTCCCGCCTTTCGCCTGCACTGCGACCCACCAGTAAAGGACGCCGACGCCGCGGACAGCGATAAGGGCCATCCCCAATTTCTCTTCGTTTCATCCACCCAGCAAATCCCGAGAGAATAAATAAACGTAGTTAAAAAGTGCGATGCTATTTGACGATGTTCTAGGCAGTTCAAGATTCAGAGATGTTGTACATGCCCTATTTTCTTCAAGCTACGAGCCAAATTTCGTGTCGACGTCAGAAACTCCAGTTGTGTTTCATTTTCTCCCATCTCATTCAGACGCACTATAGGGTTGACGCTGACGAAAATTTTGGGCACAGTTCCATGTCCCTGTCGGATCTAGATAGGCGAATTCCCCAGGAGGCCCGGGATTCCAAACAGATCGGATACCCAACCAGGTAGCCAAGAAGCTGATGCGCGTCCTTTTCAGACAGGATTAATTGGATTTATGTCATTATAAAAAAAATTTTGATGTTCGGAGAAACGCTATTACTATTCGCATAATTTGAAGCATGTTATTACAATTCTTCGTTTCCCACAAAAATGTCATTGAATATGTATGGACACAGCCTGGGCCCAGCTGCAGGTGTATACGAAGACGTATACTTCATCTCCCCTGTCACTGACACGCGGGCCCCACATGTCGTCATCTTCTTCCTCTCCTCGTCTCTCTCCGGCTCTCTCTCTCCATCCCGACGCGGCCACGGCGAGCGCTGCCGCTGGCAATGCTGGCATGGCTTGCGGGCGAAACCCGACGAAGTCATTGTCGTGACCTTCGAAGGCCATGCATGCGAAAGTAGCCGGTGACGGAGCGCCACACCCGAGCAAGGGACGTGGCGGTCGCGAGCTTCGCCTCCGGCGGCGCGCGCGCGCAGGAGCGCCGGCCGCGGAGCTCGCGGCTCGACCGACGTCTGCTGCTGCTCGCCCACTTGCTTTCGCTTCACAGCGTGTTTCTTTGCTTTCGCATGTCGTCTTCTCTCTGTTCTCTCCCGTACACACTCTGCACATGGCTTGCTCGCCGGCGTGGGCTCGGAGTTGAGCTAGGGGCCACGGGATACGCTGGGGAGAGATGCAAATGGAGAAGGAGCTCACCACGATGCCGATGGTGGGCTTCTTGTCGTCGAATGCTGACCGGAGAGGGAGGGAGACGAGGCGAGGCGGACGGCAACTCCGGCGAGCTCGCGACGAAGGTGTTGCTGGCGTGGGTTGATGCGAAGGTGCGGTTTCACGGACTCGCAGTGCCTCTGCGAACTCGACGGAGGAGGAAATGCGGTCGGAGCGCGGAGAACAGCGAGCTCAAACCGAGCTCGGCAATGGCGGCTGTGCCGGCAGAAATGGGTGCTGGAGAGTGGGGAAGGGCTCGGGTAGTGGTGGAGCGGTGGAGGCGTGTGCTCGCGGTGCCGAGGCCCAGCTTATATAGGGCAGAGAGGGAGCGAAGAGGAGCCGGTCGCGAGCTCAGAGGCATGCCGCCCATGGCGGCTGCGATTAAGCGCCGCCGAGGTGTCGCGGATGGCGCTACTGATCGCTAACGCGAGGTAGAGCGGGGGACGTGGAAGGAAGGGAGGGGGCCTCGTCCTCGCGGCGGGCGAGCTTGGTCGCGGCAGGAGCAGGAGGAGATGGGCTGCTGCTCGCCGTGGCCGTGGCCGCGTCGGGATGGAGAGAGAGAGGAGGAGAGGAGGAAGAAGAAGATGACATGTGGGGCCGCGTGTCAGTGACAGGGGTGATGAAGTATACGTCTTCGTATACGCTGCAACTGGGCCCAGGCTATGTCCATACGTATTCAGTAGCATTTTTGTGACAAACAAAGAATTGTAATGACATGCTTCAAAATAGACGAATAGTAAAAGCGTTTCTCCAAACATCGAAAATTATAATGGCATGAATCCAATTAACCCTTTCAGATAATAAAAAAAAAAGATCTAAAAGGCACACATCTGAATAAACTTTGCCCCAAAGCTCAACTCGAATTAAGTGGTTCTTGTCAAAAACCCTGATTTCAAAAGCACTGCTGATTACAGGCATATTGCAAAATCTGGAAAAATCGATAGAGCAATTCACTAGTCGCAACTAAACGCAGCAGTCTCTCTTCATCAGCTAACAAGTCTTTGCACAAGCAAGCAGAACTCAGCACATGATCTATGTTAGTGGTAGAAGACAGGGATGGCGAAAGAATAATGACGATTGATCCACTCAAAAGAATTACATGAGGTAAAAATTCATTACAACACGCCCTAGCTAGTTAGATCTACACGAATTTACAATGATGAGGATTACAATGGCCTCGAACCAGAGGCATCAAGACCTCTGCTCTGGCTGTTCCAGCTGGACTGGCTGAAATCGGTCGTGAAATCTTGGCTGCCAAACGCCATCTGCTGGAACAGCCTGATCTCGGCCGTGTTCGCAACATTGAACATCTCACTCTTGCCTGGCTGAACGCCGTTAGTTAGATCAACGTCAGCGAGACTATCAAGCACTCGCACAACCTGAGAGGAGGCAAGTGGGAAAAAAAATGTTAGGTTCTGGTCTGTCTGATGAGATGTGCATGTACTCTTCTTTATCCTTATACCTGACTCATCCTCGGTCTCCTGGATGCTGAATGTCGAATACAAGCCGCAGCAGCTTCAATCATACGGAACATTTCAACTTCATTATAATTCTTATTAAGTCGGGCGTCCACCAGCTCCCCAGCATTGCCAGTTTCAAGCGCTTGTGTGAGCAATGGCCTAGCCTGCAAATAACTATGCTGTCACAAAAATTGCTGGTCCACATGGTTTACCAGTATTATTTTTCTGAAAAATCACGATTCGAGAATGGGATTTGAAGATATCAATAGCGTGTATTCAGCCATTCAGGCTGGATACACCATTAAATCCCATACAGAATTGAATGTAATCAGTGAATAAGTCCACTTAAGATTTTGAGTCATGCAAATTACTTATGATATGGTTAAATTTCATTTGCTACGAAGGAAAACTGGAAAGCTTTTAATGAATCAAACTACTGCTATAGCTTACCCACTCAACAAGGCTCTCATCACCCAATGGCTTCGATGCATCGACAGGCTTTCTACCAGTAATAAGCTCCAAGAGGACAACACCAAATGAGAATACATCAGATCTCTCAGTCAACTTGCCACTTGACGCATACTCTGGAGCAAGGTACCTAAATAAGAAACATGCGTCAGATTACAAGCAAGTTTAAACTGTTCTCTTGGACTTGTCGCTGTTTTACTAACCCAAAAGTTCCCATCACTCGTGTAGTTACATGAGTGCAAGCATCCATAGCTAACCTTGCAAGACCAAAATCAGCAACCTAGCAAATGGGGACCAATGCAGTGAGTGATAACTCCATTATAAGGTGTTACTGAAATTATGTAGAAAGCATTCTTACCAGTGCTTCAAAGTTATTATCCAGCAAAATATTAGAGGACTTTATATCTCTGTGGATTATTCTGGGGTGACCTGCCAGGGAAAAGAATTAAGTGACAAAGCATGAGAGTAGTGAAAATCATCACACAAAAACTGGTGAAGGAATGAAAAATGTCATTACAATCTTCATGAAGATAGGCTATTCCACGAGCCGAACCAGCCGCAATTTTAACCCTAGCTGGCCATTCCAAAACTGGTACTCCACGTCCTATGATGAAAAATCAATACGGGTATGGATTAGTTGTTTAGTCCGGACAAAGAACTACTACCTCCATTCCAAAATAATTGCAGTTCTGGTTATGTACCTAGACAAATACTTGTCCAGGTACATAGCTAGAACTACATATATTTTGGAACAGAGGTGGTAAAAAAAAATGCTCCTGCACAATATATAAAAGCAGAACATACCATGAAGATGGTAGTGAAGTGTGTTGTTGGGCACAAAATCATAGACAAGCAATCTCTGGTCATCTGAAATGCAATACCCTACAAGAGAAACTAGATGGCGATGATGCACACGACTGATAATATCCACCTCAGCATGGAACTCGCGTTCCCCCTGCCCGCCACCATCTTTCAGTTTCTTAACCGCGACCTCTCTTCCATCAGCCAAGCAACCCTTATACACTGATCCGAACCCACCTTCCCCTAGCAGGTTCTGAGCTGAGAAGCCATTTGTGATCTGATACAATTCCTCATAAGTGAAGAACCGACAATTGCCCATACTGAACTCTGGCATTGAATCTTTCGATTCAGGACTCCCAGCACTGAAGTTTGTTTTAGCTGAATACCCTAAACAAGAAATGAGTTTTAGTTCAGTTCATCACTCAGGTACATATAAAGACTAATCTTAACTTTCCAGTTGTGTAATTGCTGCAAATGCACTTGATCAAATTACCTAGCACTTGTGTAGGAGTCGAGGCAGGTGAAGGCATTACAAAGCCAGCATGGTATCCATGAACTCTCCTCCGTTTCTTCTTGTACCAAAATGCAGCTCCAACCAAGCTAAGCACAAGAATGGCAACGACTACCCCAATGCCTGCCTTTGCACCAGAAGACATTCCACCACTGTCTACTGAGGAGCTGCTGCTCAGCGAGGCTGGACTCGACGACTTGTTGGAACCTTGGCCCCCGGTTGTTACTGGGCTAACTGGATCAGCTGCCGTTGCTGGGGCTGGCACCAATGGAGTACCACCAGAGCCTGGTGTGGACGGTGTCGTTCCTGGAGGTGAGGGGCTAGCGGGGTGGGGATCGAAGGATCTGGGGATGTCGGTGAGGGACTGGTCGGAGAAGGTTTGACAGGGATTCCAGTTCCAGAAGGTGGTGGTGCCAGGGGTGGAGGTTCTGTCTGAGGCGTTCTTGGTGGCCGGCGCCGTGGTGGAGGTGGCTGCGTTACTGTCGGCGGCGTTGGGTCAGCCGGCGGGTTGGGCGCCGGCAAATTGGATGGGGGTGGCGACGCGGCCGCAGGGGAGCGTATGGGTATAGGCGACGCCTTTGGCGGGGCAGCAGGTGTAGGTGGCGGGGGTACTGAAACCGGCGGCGAGGGTGGGGGCACTGCGGCTGCTGGGGCGGGTGGAGGAGAGGCAACAACAACTGGCGGTGGTGGCACGGCGTCCGGAGGAAGCGGAGGCAAGGAGGGCGGTGGAGAAGTGAGCTGTGGCGGTGGCGTGGATGCGGAAGGGAGGGGAGGAGGCACGGCCTGCGATGAGGGAGGGTCGGCCGGGGTAGCATTGGGCTGCGTCACCGGGGCCGGGGAGGCCGGCGTGCGCGTGGTGGTTGCCGGCGACGGGTTTGTCGTGGAAGGCGGCAAGGTGGCCCTGATGGTGCCCGGGGAAGGCGAAGGCGAGGACGCCATTGGAGCGCAGTAGCAGGCCAGAAAGCACTACAGTGCCGTCACAGCTGAGCTGCTGCCTTGTTGGTGAAATTGGAGAAAAGAACCATGGCACACGCCGCAATTCAAGGGAGAATCGAGCCAATCTCGCGGATTCGCGCAGCAACCAATCGAAATTCCGCCTCTTTCCTTCCTTCTCTCCCTCTTGGGTCTTTGGCGGTGAAGAAGAATGCGGAGGAGGTGAAATCTCACCTCGAGCACCGCAAGAGAAGCTTCTCACTCAAATCAGCACGTACAGCACTGCATTCGCAAACAAAGATAGCCTCGCTTCAACACCAAAAACTGAATGGATAGAAATAATTCAAACCCTCTAGAAACTGAGCCAAGATCCCACCTTGTTCCACGCGGATGCTGCGAAGGAGAGGCAGCAAAGGAAGACGGAATTCCGAAGGAACAGCAGAATCTTGGGGAGGCCGGTACCAGGATTGAAGTTCAAGGCGGAGTCGGAGGCGGCGGACGCGGTGGGTCTGTCAGATCCAGCAGGAACGCGGTAGCATTGAAGGCAAAGGCGGAGGTAACCGCAAGAACAGCGAGGAGAGTGGAGAGCAAACGAAGAAGAAGGCAAGAAGGAGCAGCGCGCATGTGACTCTGTACCTTTGCAGAAATTTCTCCTGCCCGAGTGGGAATGAATTCCCGATTTCCACCCGTCTCTTATAGGCGACGGGGAGAAGATGTATCGTGCACTGTCAGTGTGCCACTGTGCCCGTCATGGTTGGTTGGAAAAAGACGGCCCTCTTTCTTTTACTCTGGCCCCCTGGATATTTCAGAAATTAGTCCTTCTCCACCAATTACATTTTTTTTCTGCGAGACACCAATTAGTGAGCTGTGACGTGTAACGTGTTAACAGCTTTTCAGCATTGCCTTAATCTCCATGTATCCTAGTTACGCATCTGTCCAGACTAGAGGAAGGATTCCTGTTCGTCTAAATTGCATCAAGGGGAAATCCTTAGCAAGCAAGTATTACTATTATTTAATGCTACATAATTTGCTATAAGGAGGTCTCGATGGTAGGTTCTACAACATTAATTGGGATGACAAGTAAGCAAAATGTTGATGATATTAGAATTAAAGAAGAGAGATAAATCCCTTCGTTCGAAAAGAAATGAAAATATCGCTTCATGAGGAGCTAGACAATCCCATGTTTGACCAAATATTAAAAAAATATTGATATTTAAGATGTGTGATAAGTATCACTAGATTAATTATTATGGTACATATTTTCATAAAAATCCCTATTTAAAAATACAAATATTTATACTATTTTATGTCAATCTAGTCAAATTTAGGATTGTTTAACTTGTCCATAAGCGAGTTTTGCACTTTTTGTGATGGGAAATGTAATATGCCTATATAGATACTAGACAAGAGGTAGATGATCGAATGGAAATTTAATATAAAAAATTATCCATTAACAATATGGTTTATATATATAGTGTTTTTGAGAGAAGGTTTCTATATATAGCGCCTCCATTAATTAATAACTACAACTACAGAGAAAATATTTGTACCCTAAACAGGAGGACTGTTGGTTGAGCCGAACAGTGACACTGACAGTCTGACAGGACAAAGAAAACTGTAAGCAGGTGAATGTTGTACAGCATCTTTACTCTATCAAATAACTAAAACCACATGGGCCAGGGTTAAAATGACTCACATGATCCCTCCTCAGTCATCATCCTATACCATGGTAATAGACTAATAGTTAAGGGCCTCTTGGTTCCCATGGACTAAAGCATTTTGGACTAAAATCTGCACTTTAGTCGGACTAAACAGCCAAATACTTGACTAAAAGTGGACTAAAATCCTTTAGTCCCTTAGTCCATAAAACTGGACTAAAATAGACTAAAAGGTGTTGGAGACACCCATGCCTCTCATTTATTGCTCTCTCTCTCTCCACTTTAGTCCATTTTAGTTCAAGGAACCAAACACCACTTTGGTCCACTTTTAGTTCATGGACTAAAGTGAACTAAGGACATGTATAACCTACAGACGGGAGGTCGTCTGTAAAAGCCTCGGATCTGATGTACAGACAGTTAGAAAGACAGATCGTATAACCCACAGACAAAAAGTCGTATGCAAACTGTTTAATGTTTTGCATATAGCCAAAATCATTCATGAATATCATTTTGTATACCATTGTGTTGCTATTTGATAGATAATGTATTCACAGCTACGTTAACTACAGAAAATGAAGCCAAAGAAATTAGAATTTTTTCATGGTACTATGCATTGGCATCTCTGCAACTCCATACATCATCACGACGGCCAAAGAAATTAGCAAATTTTCAAGACACTATGAAATTAGAAAATAAAAGCATGCTATTCCCAAAAAAAATAAAAATAAAAGCATGACAGCTCCATACATCAGCAGTTTGTTCTGCTATGGCGCTGGGATTACTGGTGCTGTCTGGAGGTGGAAAAGGAGGAGGACGAGGAGCGTGCGGAGAGGTTTATTTTACCCCAGTCAACTCCACGTCACTTCGTCTTCAAGCTCCATCACAGCCCTGTCGGACGGCCTGCGTCTGCAAAAGCTTCCATATATACGAAGACGAAGGCCACCATAATATCCGATCCGGTGGACATGCATGCATGTACACTACTCGCGCTAGCTGCCCGCACGGCCGACGGCACTCGCCTCCGCGACGCGTATCGGGTGCTGCTCCAGCTCCATCTCCGTCGGGGGCTGCTCCAGCTCTGTCGGTCCAAGCTCAGACGGCGGCGCGCACGTATCTTCGGCTCGGAGGCGAGCGGCGGGAGGCTGGGGGCGGGCCACCAGGCGGCCGGTGGCAGTCCCTAGGGTTGCGAGCGGGCGGCCGGCGACGAGCGCTAGGGTCCGGTCTCGAGGGGGCAGCAACCGATGTCGCGCGGGCAGGCGGGAGGCCATCGAGCTCTCGCGCGCAGAAGAGATCGGAAGCTCGTCGGCAGGCTGTGGAAGGTGAGGACACCGGCGCGAAGGCACACGGGATCCGCGCGCCATCGAGTCTTCGTACAACGCTGCTGGAGCCGGCGTCTCGGCCTCGGGCCATGAGCCGTTCCCGTCGCCTCGTGAGACGACGAGGCCTCCGTCTTCTGGAGTCGGCGGGGTTCGTTTTGCTAAAAATACATCACGGAGACGGGTCGAAGAGATGCGTTGTACGTGCCCTAAAACTTTTATTTCATGGACTAGAGAACCACACAGGGCTTAACTTATCCAAATCAAAAGATTAATTTTTTTTGGAACAGTTACAAAGCAGAAGATTAAAAAGGTACTGCATATGCTTCCTTTACTGTTTAAGAACGATTGTGTCATGAAGAAGACAAAACCGCCTTTTGGATTTTAGTTGTGCCGAACAGGTGTGTGCACATGGCTTGCTTTATGGGCCTGGAATGGATTTACCCACTCTTTTTTCCCCTTTTTTTTCTGTGAGATGCTGGATTACACATCTTGGACTTGCCTGCTCAGATTCTGACCCGGAAATGTTGCCGCGAGCTTCAGACGGTGCGACCAAAATGTTTGACAATTTCTATGTAGCACTGTCGAGGAACCAGAGCTCTGTCATCATTCATCAAGCATAGTTGCTGCATGCGTTGCTGTTGCGGTGTTGCCTCAAGAAGTGTACATACTAGTGCATGTCTTTTTACAAAAGAACATGTCTTTTTCCTCCCTTTCAGAGAACCAATAACCACGTTCCTTTGTAAGGGAGAATTTAGTATATATGATTATATAGTTTCTCTCTTTTTTATATACTAGTGCTATAGTGAATTGGGGAACGCAAGATGCACCTGCTGCTGTGTAATTGTAAAATAGTATACGAGTTGTATAAAACAGGTACCACTATAGGTCCCCATCTCTCATTGATCGAAGTTTGACCCTTTCCAACTTAAACATCTCTATAAGTTGAATCATTCAAACGTTGAAGTTAAACACCTGCACGTAATCCATATATTTGTAGGTTTCTTAAAGTTGACTCCAGAGTCAATCCGCTTGCAGGCTGAATAAGAAAAGTGCTAATATCTGTAACGGTGTAACCTTAGCCTCGATTCGTGAGCCTTGACTCTAGGAGGAAAACTGCATGGGCAGCGAACGACTTTTCTGCTACAGTGCTACTCACATTGTTGAAATTGATTTTATGGACGTAGACTAAAACCCTAGATTTTGTTATAGATGCGTTACATGTATTATGTTCTTTGACAATATGGCATGAGTTAATTATCGTCATTACGTAGACAAATCGGGCTAGTGGTATTTGTCAAAATTACCTTAAATAGCACGAGAATAACGTATCACGCTTGAAGCAGAGGCTAACCACATGATTGAGGCAAATCATGCCAGCTCATGGCGACCAGTGTGTGAGTGTGATGCACCGTCACTGTATTTTCGTTGACCTGGACTTCACTAATAAAATACGCTCTGCTTCTGCCACATGTGTGTGATTTGAGCCCAATTTCAGCACCTTTCGCTTTCCATGCAATCTCGCTGACGAACGTACAGCTAGTGTCCACATTGCTCCAGCAGACAGCTCATTCGCATGCCCTCTCTCTGCGCCCATCAACATTCGCATGCCCTCACCCTAGTGTGATCGATGATTTGTCCCACCCATCAACATTCACGTGCCCTCTCCCTAGCGTGTGATCGATGATTTGCCCTTCTGCCTAGTGATCTCTTTTCTTGTCTAGCCTCAAAAGTCATCATATATATAAATCATTGAGTCATCTCTTTGGAACCTCTCACTCCTCTCGAACTAATCTCGCAACAATATTAGTATACGATGCCGGGTCCTCACCTATTCACACTCGTTGTTGGTTATAAAAAGGAAGTGGACATTTTGAGCCACCTGGTATTTAGGAGCCATGTTTTATTGATACATAAGCATGTGGCTTAGAGCAACTCCAGTATCGGCACCTAAATCAGGGCCCTACTCGTGTTGGGCTCCTACTTTGCATTTGCTCCGGCAGTAGCCTTGAAACTAGAGCCCGCAAAAGTATAACAACCGTCATTGGCAAATGGGACCCACTTGTCATTCACCAACCCACACAGCGGCAGAGGTGAGCAGAGGCGAACGACTGCGCTCGTTCCACGGTGGCTGGCAGAGGCCGCGCGGCATCGCTCCTCCTTCTTGTCTTCTCCCCCTTCCTCTGATTGCTCCCAGGTCCGATGCGTCATCGCCACCGTGGGCGCCATCGGCAAGCTCCTCCTAGTTGCCGCAGTCCTAGCGCGTCCTCGTCTCCTTCTCCTCTGCGTCCGCATCGGAGATCTGCCCGCGTCCGTCTCCTAGCCACCGTAGGGGGGCCGCGCATGGCGGGGCGCTATGGCCGGGCGGCGCGGAGGAGAGGAGCCGCCGAGGCCTGAGGATGCGGCCACCGGAGGGAGGGGAGGGGCTGCCGGAGGGGCGCTGCCGCGCTGGGAGGCATGGCCGCAGAGGAAGACGGAGCCGGGGCCGCTCCAGCGCCGGGGAGGGGAGGTCGCGAACATCAGAGGGAGCGGACAACGGGAACGGACGACCGCGCTCGTGCCGGATGGAGGCTGAGGGGTGAGCCCCCATTCTCCCATCGGAATGGGGTCTGGAGGGTGGATTTGGGTGCCCACTCCATACTGGAGCTCCAGTAGAGGCTTTGCTAAAGCTGCGTTTTTCAACTGGGCTCCTATATTTAGCTATGGAGCTTAAGTACAGTGAGACGTGGGTGGAGTGTGCACGAAACGGGGCGGTTGTTTTCATCCTTCCATTTTCTTAATTGTGTAAAAAACAATGGCACACGTGCCAGCTAGCTTCCGTTTTGTTAAGCTTTGTGCTAGTCTCGGAGATGGTGCCAGTGCGAAGCTAACGCGTCTTTGGCCCATTGGTCGCTCCTCGTTGGTGGTAGTACTCGTACAAAATTATTACGTGCGTAAACATAAACAAAGCAGGTGTTGTGTTGGACGCTCGAGACGACCCTGGCAAAATCCAAGTACTACTGCACGTAAACAAATCAGCAACAAAAGCGTAGCCCAGGGCAAACTGTATGTCTAGTAGGAATAATACGGTAGGGTCTCCTCGCAAAAAAAAAAAACAGTAGGGTCAGTCCACGATACCCATGGGCCATGGATTATTTCGGACTTGCCGTGCGCCGTGCGCGTTCCGTGATGCGACCGGGACGGGGCTGTGCACCGACGCCCGAGACCCGACGGACGGCTGCTGGGCAGGGCAGCTGGTCGGTCTCCCTGCTCCCAGGAATCAAGGGCTCACGTAATCACGTAACCGCGTCGCCGTCGGCACCCGTGGCCCACGAGATTTCTCGCGCAGACTCGCAATCAACCCAACAGGCCCACGCCCGTGTCGGCGCGCATCAATAATAATTCATTCAATACTCCACGCTTGCCGCGCGCATGAAAGAATTGACCGACTGCAGCAGACCCACAAAAATAGTTTGACGAGGACTTAAAATTATAGATGTGCAGACGATCGAGCAGCAAAAATGCGACTTCGGTTCATGAAAAAGAAAAACCAAAGCGGTCAAGTGAGTTCTCAGTTGATCAAACAAGAAGGCGGTCAGCGGTCATCAGCACTCATCAGTCACTCAGCCGGTGTTGCGCATGCCGCCGGCGATGCCGTTGATGGTGATGAGCAGCGCGTCACGGAGCCTACGGTTCTCGTCGTCGCGGCGGAGCCTACGGAGCACCTCCACCTGCAGCATGTTTATCGGGTTAAGGTACGCCAGCCGGCTCTCGATGAGCCGCCTCAGGCTGCGGTTGTGCGCCGTGAGCCTGCTGTGCCCGCTGACCGCCAGCACGCACCGCTCCGTGCGCGCCAGCTCCCTGCACAGCCGTTCCCCCACCGCGCGCCGCTCGGGGGCCACCAGCATCTCCTCGTAGTGCGCCGCCACGGACGCGTCCGCCTTCGCCGTCACCATGTCGATCAGGTCCACCGTGCTCTGGAAGAAGGGCCACTCGGCGTACATGGCGCGGAGCTCGGCGCCGTGGCCCCGGTCCAGCGCGTCCTGCAGCCCCGTGCCGACGCCCAGCCACGCCGGCAGCACCAGCCGTGTCTGCGTCCACGCGAACACCCAGGGGATGGCGCGCAGGCTCGAGATGCCGCCCAGGGGCTTGCGCTTCGCGGGGCGGCTGCCGATGTTGAGGTGGCCCAGCTCCGCCTGCGGCGTCGCCTCCTGGAAGTAGGTGATGAACTCCGGGTCCTCGTACACCGTGGCGCGGCAGTGCGCGCAGCTCACGCGGGAGATCTCCTCCATCACGGTCCGCCAGTTCGGGTCCCGCGGCGGATGCGGCGGACGAAGCGTCGCCAGCAGCACCGCCGTCGTGTAGATCTCGAGCTGGCGAACGGCAGTCTGCGGCAGACCGAACTTGGCCTGCACCATCTCGCCTTGCTCCGTCGACCGGAGAGTGCCCATCACTGAGCCGGGAGGCTGCGACTGGATGGCCAGGTACGTCGGCCCGCCGCCGCGGCCGATGCTGCCGCCACGGCCGTGGAACAGCGTCACCTTGATCCCGAACTCGTTGCACGCGGCGACGACGTCTTCCTGAGCCTTGTACAGCTCCCATGCCAACGTGAAGCGGCTGGCGTTCTTGCCGGAGTCCGAGTACCCCACCATTACCTGCAACAGACACACTCGAGTTTCAGGGAAAAAAGGTGAGTGAGAACTGAACATCCTATCCTATCCTAGTAGTACTTGCTGCTAACATTCCATCTCTTGTGTACCTCCTGGTGGCCGTTGTGGTTCTTGATGATATGCTGCCTGTACCAGTCGATGGACAGTAGCTTCCTGATTGCTGACCCAGCTGCCTGCAAATCTTTCACCGTCTCGAACAACGGAACTACTCTTAACCTGCCACCAAGGATGAAGATGAATTGAGAGAGTAATCACAAGCAGCAGCATTGTAGTGATGTAATCACTGAAGTTCTGCGAAAGTTCATATGAATTTGTACAGGGTGCCATTGATGGCTCTCTTCATGGACCGGATTCAGCCCAGTTTACTAACTAAAGTTTGTTCTAAAAATTGCCTTCCTATCTACCCTAAACTAACAGGAAGTTGATCTCAACTTTGAAGTTCAATGAATGCGTTGATCATTAGCATGTCAATATTTAATCACTACACTGTGCAAATTCAAAAAGAAATCAATCAAGAAAATCATGCTTACGTGCCACCAGGACATGGCCTTCCTAGGTCCCCGCTAACTGTAAGTCTTGCATCCTTCTGCAACAGCTCCACGGCAAGGACATCACTTGCCTTCAAGAACAAGAGTAAAGGACATGATTGGAAATTTATCGTTCTAATATAAGGCAGCTGTGCAAACTATTAACCATATATGATTTGTCCTGATCTATGACATAAAGGTGTTAATAGGCATGACATGGAATAAATGTTTTGCAATTTTAAAGCACTACTAAGTGAGTAAGTGGGTGCTGGAGATGATCACTCAGAACTCAGAACTCTAAAATATTGACTGCAGATTTTTTTTCCACTTTTTCTTTATCATTTACTGCATTACAGATGGTGTCTCTTCATACATTTGAGGCCATTGAAATGACATATGCTCCAAGTGAGTCACTCCCTAATTCTGCAGCAACTTTGAAGGTGTCCAGAACTTCTTTCACATCTGCAGCAACCTATACAAAAGAAATAAATACAAATGTAAATGTATTAGTGTAGAATTTCCCCTTATTTTTTTTCTTAAAGGACTATGCAGTTACATAGTCATAAACTGGACTATGCATGGGCCTATACCATATAAATAAATACTGGCCTGTTCGCTTGAGCTTATTCAGAACTACTATTTAACTATGGAACAATGTTTTCCTATTACAACATTTCAGCATAAACATCAGCATAAGCCAAATTTTAGCATCAGCGAACAGGGTGACTACCTTATTTCTAACAAGACTTGATAACTTTGATCTGTTTTATCTCTCGTATTCAGAACGATATTCCAACATGATGTTGCAACATAAGAATATGAAACTCACTAGAGTGACTCTGAACGATTTGTAGGGAAATATCTAGCAGGGAATACCCTAAACAAATGAACTCTCTTTTTACTCTGAATAATGTGCTTAGGTGTCATTGGATAATATCTAAACAATATTTTGTAGCTGAGATTGGAAATGGTTGCTTCAATTTACACATGCAAGGACAAACCTCTATGTTTTGGGGTACTAGAGGGCGCTTCCCTTTCAGCTCTCTAGTCAAGAAATCCAGCTTCTTTTCTTCATCCCACTCACTATAAACACCAAGATCCAAGTAGGATGTGACGGAATCAAGTGCTTCCGTGTGACGGCCAGATTCCTAAAGCAATAAACAACTTTACCTAAGCTTTTCTGAAGTTATCAATAGGAACAGTAGAATATGCGCAAAAAAAAGGAACAATAGAAACTGAGCAAGCAAAAGCAGCTGCAGTTTTCATCAGTATATACCTGGCGTACATCGAGCTTCATAAGAACCATACCAAAGGTTGCAACCCTTCGTACCAAATCTGCTAACCGGCCATCGGCAAGGACGCTAGATCCGCATGATTGCTTCATAGAGTAATGGCAAGTGTGAGTGGTGCTCAGTACAAGAGCAATTCGGATAATAAGAGTTAAGGATATATTCTTTAAACCTACCTTTGCTGTTTCTTGCAACTTCATAGTTTTATTTTACCAATTTAAATTGCATATAAGTTTTCTGTTCTTTTGAAATAAAAATTTATCTTTCTTATTTGCATCCTCTCTGTATATTTAATAAAATATGCCATGTGTAAAGTTATTTGTAGACTTGGATTGCATTTTGTATTTCTCATCACGCCCATGACCAGTTATGGTTTATGCAGCAAAATATTAGCATTGACAAAATCAACTTTCAATAGCATTAGGAATATTTGTGACAAATGTTCCAGCATGGATACTTGTGATTGTATTTTGTATTTTAAAGTATTACTCAAGCATCAAAGGATTAACTCGGCATTCTTCAAGCACGGTTATAGAAGAGGACTCACCAGAGATTGATGGCATAAGAGCAAAGGTTCCAAAAGTTGATCTGATGTTTCACAATATTCTTCAGTGTCATAGTCACATGGTAGATCCTCAAGCAGAAGCTCAAGCCGTCTGCGTGTCTTCACCAGCTGACCAAAGAAATTACGATAAACACAATCAACAAAAAAACTCATGTGAAAGTCCACTAATTTGAGTATAGAACACTCTACTTTCCAAACAATTGGATTTATAGTTTTTATTGTATAACAAATATGCAAGATAAGCATAGGATCTATATGATAATCATTTCTTATATTGACAATATATTTCTAAATGGAAAATGATGATTCTGACCTTTTCTTTCACATTACCAAGGACAACCCTGTAAGGAATAATTCCTGGTCTGTCAGATAGGCTTGGCTCAAGTAGCTTCTGGAAGCTACTTTATCGACCTATATGAGATTCTTTGAACAACTTCCTTAGTTGATGGCCACTTGGAGTTCTACTTATCTGTGGTTGACGACCAGTAGGAGATGACAATGGACTGTCTTCAAATTTTTCTGTTAAATTAAGAGTCCCCTGGAAAACATGAACCATGAACTAACTTTTATTGCAAGAAAACAATTTCATAGTAAATCTATATGGATAGGAAGTGCTTACTGCCTTGCTGGATAAAAATACGGAGTATTACTTAACGAAACTGTGGCCAGAAGCACATTTTTTTTTGCTACTTTTCATACCTAAGTAGTCAATATTTAAACTAGGTGAGACCAGGTCTCATATCCAGCAAATCTATATTGATGTGTATGCCTATCTGACCAGATGTAAGCATAAATTTGATAGATTGCTAACAGTTGCTCAGAGAACTTCACATACAAAAATAAACATTTTCAGACATCACTTTTTTTTGTTCTTACTGTACGACTTGAGTTCCTTGGAAGATTAATCATCCTAAATTGAGATTCTCCATCACTGCATTCTGTGTCAAGTGCAATTACTCAAGGTTAGAAAATCATGGGGAGATTATATGGCACTGAAAAAATCCATTTAGAAGCTACTGGAGGAAAACCAGGTGGTATTAGAGATCATTGTTAAACAGGAGGCTCGTTAACTAAAGATCTAATTGAACTCATCCATATGATAAATGGAAATTTAAACTACGTTACTTTCTTATAAGCAGAGGTTTATCCTCCTTTCATAAAAAAGGAAATTTAAAGGAATGCTCTAAATAACTTTTTAAATACTACAATACACCGATTTGATCGAATCTAGGTTGAGGCATAGTAGTGATTAAGACGAGCAGGAAGCATAGGGTTAATCAAACTTCATTGACATACTTTTTCTATAAAGCAGAACATAAAGTTAGCTACTCCAGACAGAGAAATATACCTGTGCATGAAGGAAGATCAGCACCAGAAGGAAGTTGTGCAGGCAGAGCCAAGTTATGATGAAGCTTTGCATTGTTCTGTGGTACTGTTTTGTTCCAGGTATTGGCTTTTAGGTCCTCGGATGCCGACTCTGTATAGTCCCCTCGAAAACATCAACACAAAATAATCCAATGAACTTTATTTGAAATATGCACATCACATAAGGAATGTGCTACAATAAAAAGGTCAAGATCGTTTCTAGACCACAGATATGTGTTACCATCTGAAACTATTAACAAACTAACAATATATCAGTTGTCATAGGTGACAGTAACTAGCAACTTCTGGTGAAACTGGAAATAATCTAGATTTGATAATCGGGTAGATATACCATGAAACTAACCTTTGAGCATTATGTCATTAGCCAAGCTTGCGACCTTGTCGCTGCATCTCTTGACAGACAACTCAAAACTGAGACTGTCTAATTCCCGGATGTAAAAGTCTATTGCCATCCACCGGGACAGCAATGAAACATCCCTAGTCACCTGCATCGTAGAAATGACAGATTGTTTCAGCATTCCTGATCGCATCGAACTCTTAGAAAAGGCGACTCCATCACATCATTACAATAGTATAAGATAGTGAAAATGCACCAAGGCATTGATATCTTATTACATAGATCTTACTCTTTTTTTAAACTACATAGATCTTACTTTTGCTGTAACGTTAGGATTCCCATCTCGGTCACCACCCATCCAAGAACCAAACTTGATTGGTGTGCAGGTTAGCGGAAGTGGTCTGCCAGTGTGCTATATGTGAAGTATGAATGAAAGGTTTAGGATTCTTGAGTCAAACAGATGTTAATTTAAATCCAAGAAAATAGCAATCATTTTATGTGTACCTTCTTTAGAGCACGTACTGCTAACACGGCGAAGATAGTGTGGTACCGCTTTCCAAAGGGATTGCTCCACAATATGAAGACCTACAAATAAAGTCAACAAAAATAATTAAATTGTAGATAGACGGCATAAGAGTGACAAACCATAGCCCAGAATGCTTAAATTTTTCCTACCAGCCCTAGCTTCGTCAACTGGTGTAGGTTTATGGCGCCTCAACTCATCCGTCTGCCATATTGATGTGATTTCCTTTACCTACATAATAAAAGTTGTGGGGTTCAGATATGATAAAGAAAAGAGGAGAATAAAAGAATTACTATGCAAATCCTCTTAGTTCTGATGTATACCAGATCTTCAATTAGCATTTCTTTATCCTCATGGCTTAGATCAGGGCGCCCATTGAACTCCAAAAGATGCTACAACGCAGTTCCATCGGTCATTGAAATAGCCGATGCAGTAAATTTTTTTAAAAAAATGTGTAAGAGTATAATTAGTGTTTGATATCCTGTGGAACATAATAACTCTGCAACTAACCAATGAAGGGAAATCAAGAAAAGGTACTTTTATAAACTATAGATGTTAAACTCACTGCTACTCTTAGGTGCTTATATTGCAAAGTTCGCCGATTTATTTGGGTGGGATGCGCTGTCAGAACAATTTCGACCTCCTGCGGCAAAAGGAAAATGATACATAAACTAAAAGCTTGATAGCACATTGCACTCTTTAGGGATGTACTCCGTAGAGAATTACCTGCTTGCAGACAGTGTCATATAGTTGTTCTGAAGGGACACCACTTTGAATGAGCTTGTTGAATATATCATCACATGATTTTGAGAGCTGTTCTATGTTGCGTGCTTTACGAACCCTGCATAAAGAGGATAACAATATGCATTATCAATGCAAAAAAAAAAAAAAAATAGTTCATCATAGATGCAACATTTAGCTGATTTGCCAAACTAGTACAAATTTAATTGGTCAGAAAATAATATTAGTACAAATTTACTGATATTTACTTAATCTGTAACATGCATGCTGATAAAGGCCATTTCCATCCACAGAACATATATAGTACTGATGTCAGTTTTTTTCTTAAGGTTTGCACAGACTATTTGACTATTGCTTAACTATAGTAGTGTGTGGAATTTGTGTCACTAGATTGCAAAAAAATGATTGCTTTGAAAAGTAAAATAAAATTCTCAATGATGACCAAAATTGATGTACCATGTGCAAGCCTAGAGCTCCTACAGTTAAATGTGTCTGAGTATAGAGGGGTCACATGGAAATCATTATTAACCATGGCCAGCGTAGTGCGTTACAATGTCGTACCCATCATATGTACGGAAACTCTTGGATTCCAAGCTGCAAATAGAGAAGACGACACTTCAGGTTGGTGCAATGCAATGTGCCATTATTCTTACTATAGATATACTATGAACAAATATAGTCTATTAATTGGAGAGAACATTAAATCCCACACACTAATTTGTAGCAATTTCCTAGTTAATTTGTGCAAGGTATAGTTGTAAAGATTCAATGCGCATGTCCATGTTTACAATGTATTAGATACATAAAAACGCATTGTGAGTGTAGAACAGCATCGAAATCGACATATGGTACGTGAGTCTCTGCGTGGACGATATGATACCCTGTGGTGGGTCTCCGCGATGCCCATGAGGTTGAGGTAGTGGGAGAAGGCCCGGGCGAGGCAGAGCGCGTCGTCCAGGGACATTGCAGTCAGCTCGGCCTCCAGCTGCCGCTCGACGACGGCTGCCGTGTCCTCCATCCCCGCCGCGCGCATGGAGACGGCGCTCTGGTCGACGGCGCCGGCGGAAGATCGATCATGCACAGACCCAACTAATGATCGTCGTCAGATTATCTATCTATCAGTTAACACGTACACTGCCAGTGCCCCAATATGATGATGAGATCGATCGCGATGCGACGGCAAGGCAAATGGTGACGACATGACGTATATACGTACCTGCGCGAGAATGCGGTTGCGCTCGAGGATGTGGATGAAGCGGGGGCCGAGCTCGCGGAGGAGGACGTCGTGGAGGAGGCTAGCGAGGAGGCGGCAGTCGTCCTCGAACGCCTGGAACGATATCCCCTCCGCGATGTCGTCCGTCGTGTCCAACATCTTGATCTCCTACCTACTCTTCTTCTTCCTCTTCCTCGAGATCGATCGATCAGTGGGCAATGAATTTATCGGCAGAGGAAACTGTGTTCGTTGTGTTGTTACGCGACGAGAGGGGATCTCATCCCATGAGGAAAGGCAATGCAAGGCAATGCAATGGTAGGGGAGTGAAAACCGGTGGGCGAGGAAACTGAAAAAAAAAGAAGGTAGTCATGCGCAGGCAGCGTACTGTCGAATCTTTACATATGAAACCTGCACCCAAAAGCACGCCGGCGAGCGTGGCCACGTCGCCAGCCGTTCCTGGCCGTCGGATCGGGCGCGTGAACGGTCCAGAGCGTGCGAGGCATGGTTTTTTTTGTAAAAAAAACCTTAAACTTTAGTCAAATCAACCCGTAGTCCAGGCCTCCTCTTAGGTTTTTTTTTATAAAAAAAACCTCGAATTTTATCAAAATCAACCCGCAATCCAGGCCTTTTGAATGGGCCGGTCTGCCTCCCGCTCGGGCCTGTTTCCCGCCGAACCTGGGCCTTACTGGGCCGAATTCGGCCCGACGACGTTTTTCTATTTTCCTGCGAATTTGTTATTTATCTAAAACGATTGAAATTTTGTAAAAAACATAATAAAACAAATAAAATTTTAAAAAATGCCAAACCAAGTTTGTTGAACTCTACACAACTAGCACTGCATTGTAAACACATAACATCACATGTTTTAGTGTAATTTTTTTGCTATTAATGTGGATCTAGATTTCTCAAGAGTTTTCTAAAAAAAATTAATAGAGTTAGTTTCTTTATTCAAATTGCTATGAAATTTTTATGCTCATGTCTTGACTTGAAATTAGGTAAATCTCAAAATAAAAATGCTTACATTGGATTGGACTTCTACGCAAATATATACCCTGAATTCAGTGACGGAGCTTGGCTTTTTTTAGCTAGAGCAAACTCCTCTATGTACCAGTACAATAGCATTAGGTGAGATTTGTAGAAGTGCTACAAAAAATAGAAATGCTATACAACACACATGTGTTTTAGCAAAAAAAAATACATTATTTTTTGTCCCTCTCTCTTTTCAACTGTCTTCTGGGCCTTGTGCTTGGGGGATAGCATTCCAAGGAGCGGGTCGTCGACGTGACGGAGGCCACGCCGCTCACGCGTTCAGGTCCGACGGACGATGATCCTCCCTGGTGCTTGCAGTCACCTCTGCTGCCGACTAGGAACCTCTTTTTTGTCTTTGCATAGAAAAAAATTATTTTTTGTGATCTGTGGATCTGTGATCTTGTGATTGTCTGGAGGTAGAAAAAGGCTGGAGGTAGAAAAAGGCTGGAGGTAGAAGGAGGCTGGAGGCTGTTGGATCTTAATTCTATGGTGTAAAAAAATTCATGTGTTGAAACTACATAAAACACATGGTTGTTGGGTAGATAGACTCATAAAAAACATTCCTTTATCTAAAAGGACCGGTGTATTTAGAACTTGTTTGTATCATTGTTTGATTATAATAATCTAGATTATGTATAGGATTATTATAATCAGAATTATGAATTATAATAATCCGAGAAATTAGGTTAATGGATTATGGTGATTGATTATTTGTTGATTAAAGTGAGAAATTCCTATCTTATCCTTTATTGTTTGGCAAGTTAGATAATCAGTTGGGTGGCAAGTTATTCTTTCAGCATTATGGAAATTGAAAGTTTAGACTATAATAGTCCATTGTATAATCAATTCGGTTTGGATCAAAATTTGGTTATACAATCTGATTATTATAATAATTGGAGGAGTATTCAAACATTGGGCAATGAATTGATCATAGAGGAAGCGAGAGGAAAATGTGTTCATTGTGTGTGTATTACGTGACGAGAGGAGATCTCATCTAATAAGGGGAGGCAATGCAATGCAATGCAATGTAATGGTAGGAGAGTGAAAACCGGAGGGCGAGGAAGCCGAAAAAGAAGGTAGTCATGCGCAGGTACTGTCAAATATATACTGTGAATTCAGTGAGCCGGAGATTTTTTTAGCTAGGGCGAACTCTTCTATGTACAAGTACAACAACATTAGGTCAGATTTGCAGAAGTGCTATAAAAGTATTCCATTATCTAAAAAGATGGGTGTATTTAGGACCTGTTAGTATCACTATTTGATTATTATAATCTAGATTATGCATACGATTGTTATAATCAGGATTATGTATTATAATAATCAAAGCAATTGGGTTAATGGATTATGGTGATCGATTATTGTTGATTAAAGTGACAAATTCCTATCTTATCCTTTATTGTTTGACAAGTTAGATAATCAGTTGGGGGCAAGTTATTCTTTCATCATCCATAATCACTTATAACTGGTCTCACCTGGATTATGAGATAGTCCATTACATAATCAATTCAGTTTGGATCAAAATTTGGTTTTACAATCTGATTATTATAAGTGGAGGGGTATTAAAACAGTGGACAATAAATTGATCGGTAGAGGAAGCGAGAGGAAACTGTTACGCAACGAGAGGGGATCTCATCTATTGAGGGGAGGCGATGCAATGCAATGGTTGGGGAGTGAAATCTGGAGGGCACGGAAACCGGAAAAGAAGGATACCCTGAATTCAGTGACCTAGCCAGAGGATTTTTAGCTAGGGCTAACTCTTCTATGTACAAGTACAACATCATTAGGTGAGATTTCCAGAACTGCTATAAAAAATATTCCTTTATCTAAAAAGATGGGTGTATTTAGAACCTGTTTGTATTATTGTTTGATATTATAATCTAGATTATGCATATGATTATTATAATTAGGATTATAACAATCAGAGCAATTGGGTTAATGGATTATGATGATTGATTATTGTTGATTAAATTCCTATCTTATCCTTTATTGTTTGGCAAGTTAATTAGTTAATCAGTTGGTGGTATGTTATTCTTTCAGCATCCATAATCACTATAACCTGGTCTCGCCTAGATTATGAGATTATGGTAATCGAGAGTTTTGATTATAATAGTCCATCATATAATCAATTTGGTTTGGATTAAAATTTTGTTACACAATCTGATTATTATAATTGGAGGGGTGTTCAAACAGTGGGCAATGAATTGATCAGTAGAGGAAGCGACAGGAAATTGTGTTCAGTGTGTTACATGACGAGAGGGGATCTCATCTCATGAAGGGAGGCAATGCAATGCCAGGGGAGTGAAAACCGGAGAGCAAGGAAACCGAAAAAAAGAAGATAGTCATGCGCAGGTACCGTACCGTTAAATACATACCTTGAATGCAGTGACGAATGGAGCAAGAACTTTTTCAGCTAGTGTGAACTCTTCTATGTACAAATACAACAACATTAGGTGAGATTTTTAGAAGTGCTATAAAAAACATTCCTATATCTAAAAAGATGGACGTATTTAGAACCTGTTTGGATCACTATTTAAATATTAGTATAATTTAGATTATGCGTAGAATCATTATAATCAGAATTATGGATTATAATAATCAGAGTGATTGGGTTATGGATTATGGTGATTGATTATTGTTGGTTAAAGTGAAAAATTTCTATCTTATCCTTTATTGTTTGGCAATTTAGACAATCAGTTGGGGAGCAAGTTATTCTTTTAGCACCCATAATCACTTATAATCTGGTCTCACTTGGATTATGCATGGGATTATTGGTAATTGAAAGTTTTGATTATAATAGTCCATCATATAATCAATCATGTTTAATCCAAATTTGATTATATAGTGTGATTATTATAATCGGAGGGGTATCAAACAGGGTCTTATTCAATTTTTTAACTCAAACGGCTGTCAATTATTATTATCAGGGAAATGAGAAATCACGCAACAAAATTAGGACATGAGATTTGCGTCTGGCGCCGCGCTTCATGCCCCGCAAGCCGTGAGATGGTCGTGCCCCGCCACACATTTGCGAGTTTTGACCCCTGTCGTGCGCTCGTGCAGAGTGCGCCTGTGCTGCAGCCCGCAACTGTTGATAGACTCGCGCATGGTTGGCATTGGGCCTTGCCAGTTGGGCTGCCGAGTGCCGGAGACCAAGTGGGACTAACAAGGGGACAGCCTGTTCGGGAGGCCATATCGTATCGTGGATTATTTACTGCTGACTAGTTTGGTGTGAGAGAAAAACACTGTTCTCGGCTGAAAATTTACGATCGTTTACGAGCAAGCGAACAGGCTGTTTTGCCGAGTACTGGAATTAGAGCCGTCAGCACAAGATCGTGAACTTGGCATCTTCTAGGCCGCAACCGGCTAGGCTGCTTGAAGTCGGAGTTCAAACAAGGGGATGCACTGGGCCTTGCCGGCTGGTGGCTGGGCCAAGATAGCAGCATGGTGGATCTTGCATTCGCTTGATTTCAAAAAAAAAAAATCTACCTAGCAAAATTCTTAAATTAGTTAAATATATTTTCATAGTAAATCTAATTAGAAATGTTAATGTTATTTATTACAAATTTGATCAAAATTAAATCAGTTTGACTAAATAGACTTTAGCCCTAGATAAAACGAACAGACATGGCAAGCACATGGCGTCGACACTACGAGTCTACTATAGTCAGAGCAAGTTTTGCTCCGGCCAAAAATGAGGGGAACATATCTGGTGCAAACCAACCACCCCGTGCAACCTTTGAAACTACGAATCAGGGCCACAAGATGCTAATCCAAAG